ATGTACCAGACTACCTTTCAAGAACTTCGATAACTGAAAACATTTACCTGTTGGAGGCAGGCAGTCTTTCCAGTCAAAATAGCCTGCGTAAATTCCAGGTTCTAAGGAGCCAACGATGGGATCTGCTTTCAACTCAATGTAATTCTCAAAGAGTCTTTGGTCTAATTCTTTCAATGAGGCCATGCTAACCTACAAACACATAATAAAGTGTAATTATAAACTGTCCATTTGTGGGTGAAGGAAAAAGTAATATGACATAGATCTAAAATTACTTCAGTATATTTAAAAAGTACTTATCAATTTTCCTACAAAAAGATATGATTTTTATTTTATTTATTTTCATTAATAAAGACCACCGTTAGCACAGTTATGTGTTAGACTAAGGATTAACCTCCACCTATGGGCCACAGATCATCTTCACAGAAAGTCTGGCCCCCATGAACTGCGAGCTGCTGTTGGTAGTGGGAGCAGAACAGGGCCAGGAGGCTAGCCTCAGTCCTACAAGTCCGAGCCTGGTCTCACAGGCACCTGAGGCCAAGAAGCTACAGAGCGGGTGGGCTGTACTAAGTCTGGGAGTAAAGAGTCTGAGGGCCCAGGTTTCTCTGCAGTGGAAAGATGGCCTGTCTGCTTCTGCACCACTGACCCACAGGACACAAGTTTCTTTCCAACACCAGACCTGAGTTTCAAGAAGCTAACACTAAAAACCAAACACACATCTAGGTTGTCTAGCAGCTATAAACAGGAATATCTGTCCAGCAGTGAAGTTCAGCTATGGAAGAGAAAAGCAATAATCTGAACTTAGAAAATAATGGAAACCCTGAATAAGATTAAAGTACAATGTAAAATAAGACTTCATGAAGATAAAACACGTGGTTTTCAAAGCTAACAACTAGGCAGATTAATTGAAGAAACTACTGGTCATTTCTAAGACTGAAATTAAGTACAATTAAGTACTTCAGCGAACAGAGGAAAAATGTAGAGGTGGAAACTATGAAGGAAGAGACTTAGAAGATAGATCCAGAAGCTCAAATATGCAAAAACAGACAAACTAACACATAAAAAAAACCACCCAGAAATTCAAGAAGAGAAATACGAGCAGTCAGAGAAGAGGTAATAATCAAACAAGCAATAGAAAAAACTGAACTGGATCTAAAGGCTGAGTTTGCAATTGGAATAGGCTTGCTGAGTTCCAGGCTAGACTGATGAGACACTGTACACAC